TGGTGATTTGTCATTGAGTAGGATGTAGTTAGACTTGTCTATTTAAGTCGATAATGTTGTTTCTCTTTTGTTGGCCAGCTGTTGCAATCCCCCAGCATAAGTGTTTGGGCGTTTGGAGAATTTAATACTTTTTTGGTGTTAAAGGGTTTACTAGGGGAGATATAGGCGGAAATAATGTTAAATTTTGTTTTGTAGTGGATAGAGGCTCCAACTGCGTCGAAGTCAGTGGAAAGAGATAGTTGTTTTTGGGGTAACCGGGGTAGGGATTTGGGAGGGAATTGTGAGGCAGGTTTCTTGAAGTGCCATGATGTTGGGGCTGTAAGTTTTATTTGGAATTTGATGTTCTGGGTAATTGTTTTTGTAACCATGGATATTCTACTGAATTATTTTTAAGCATTTTGTTAGGGCTATGCTGTTAAGCTTAGTAAAATCTAAGAGTGAACAATTAATTTGTTTTGTAATTAGGCTTGCGAAAAACTTATAATATTTTGTCTTTTGAGTCGGATTAGTTTGCTGATCCATTATTTGTTGCTTTGTTGGATGATATAGATTTTTCAGTTTTGTTTTTTGCGTTAAGCTTATTGTTAAATAGGTTTGGTTTATTTTTTTGTTTGTGATCTGAGCCTACGGTCTGAGCCTGGGTCATTCTTCTTGGTTTGTGTGTTGTTTGGACAGTGGCGTAGATAGCTTTTTGATATGGGGGGGGGGGGAATATGACTCAGAATAATATCCTTTTTTTTGTAAGATTTATTTTACACTGCGATAATAATCCGCGTTGCACAGTCGTGTACAGAAATTGGTCACATTTTTCACATTGATAAGTTGCATTATAAAAAAATTCTCTTATCGAAGAAGAAATTCAAGCTTTCGAAATTTTTTTGCTAATTCATCAATGGCTTCGTCTGCTGTGATTATATGCAGCTGATGCAGCGCCGCAGCACGCAGTAAACTGAGAGGCACTGTGACTGACTGAGGTATCACTTGGAGGTCGCATGATTGGTCGGTCCGTTAGATGCGCTGGAGCTATCATATTTTCCACGAACCCTCCTGATGAACAACAAACCGGCAGGCAGACGCCAAAACTGCGTTAATCCTGGGAAACGCAGCGACCGCTGGCAAGCTAAAAGATTCCAGGAAGAATTTGTCGGTTGACAAGAAGTCAACAGTATTGAACATAACTCGGGCATTCGAAACTTTAATATGCTGTACTGCACAGTCATCGCGTAAAAATGTGTTTCTTTTTCAATTTTGAGATTATATCATCTTATAATTCTCAGACCCAAGGGGGGGATTGATCCCCCTGATCCCCCCCTCCCCTATCTACGCTACTGTGCTTGGAGGTTCAAGTTTATCCATGTCTTCCTTGTAGGTGGGGCGTTGGGTAGGCTTCGTGTTCTTTGGTTGTTCCTGAATAGCATCGTAGGAATTAATTTTCCTTTTATTTTGGGGCAGAATCTTAACGGAGGGAGTTGGCGTGTTGTTGACTATCAGTACTGCTGCTGGTTTGTTTGAGTTTGTAATATATTGGAGTATGATGTTGTCTGATGTGTGTGGCGTTGGAGGTACAAGTTCTTTGTCGTTTTGTAGTCGACTTCTTCGACGGTTTTAATAGCTACAATTTCCTTTTGTTTTATAAATGTTGGGCAGGCTTTATCGAGGGGAGTGTTGTATTTAATTTCTGGTATGTATTTACAGTTCAGGCAGAACTCTGGGTTAGTGCAGTTTTTGCCGTCTGAAAGATGGTGTTCGGAGCAGTTGATACATAGTTTTGGGCTTTTGCAGAACTTTGCGGGATGTCCAAATCTGTGGCAATTGCGGCATTTAAGGGGGCGAGGAATGTGAGGACGAATCATATATTATCATATATTAGGATAACGAGTCCTGTGTCTTGAAGAGTTTTGTCTTTGAATTGGTATATTTTCTCGACTTCGGTTACTTTTTGAGCTAAGAGTTCTTTTAATATTTCGTCTTTTTCAATGGATCGAAGATCATTAGAGTATATGACGCCTTTGGATGAATTCATTGTTTGGTGTTCGGATGTAGTGGCTAAGAAGTCGTGGAATTGGGTGAGTTTCAGGAGTCAGACCTATAGTTTTTACCAACACGTTTCCAGCTCTAGTTTTTTTGACTGAGGCCACAATGCCGTAGCATTGATATGATAATGAATGTCCCATTGTGGTTGGTCATGTAGCCCGGTGGTCACGACATCGTATGATTTTTTGGGCTGCTGCCCGCTGCTCTTGAGTTTGTAACTGTTCGGCTTGGTTTTTTTTTTTTCACAAGGTGTTGTGTTTGTGTTAGTTAGGTTTGACGTAATACGTATTTCTACAACGAAGTCAGAACTGATACAGTACTTTTTTGTTGTTGTTGTGTTCCCAAAAAGTCAACAGATTCCATGAAAATCGGACATTTTAGTCTTAGGTGGCCCACTTGGCAGATTTTCTCTAAGTGTAATTGCTCTAATAATCGCACGCAACGACATCTAGCCGGGAAGAACCGAGACACACAAGCATCTAAAACTAAGAAAAGAAGAAGAAAAAAAGAAAGAAAGGAAGCAAACTTCGGCAAGCTGCAGTTCATATACCCTGCAGCTATTTAATAAATTAAATATTCTTGAAAAAATTAAAATTATGATTTACTTGCGTATATGTTTAAAAGCATTGAACCTATGATGATTTGGAACTGAATTATTCGATAGTTCCTATGAAAGCTTTACGATTTCGTTTTCCGATCTTTATAGAATAAAAAGCGTAATTCTAAACTGTCAAATTATTAATTAATCAAAAATAATACTTAAAATACAATTACAAAATAGAAAAGTTAAATTAAAAAAAATTTAAATTGAAGTAACTAGTTGAAGGGCGAGAGCGGGAGCCAAAACGCTTTCGTCCGTTCGCTCTTGCGAATTCTCCACGACTCTCGCCACCTTAGCATAAGTTAGGGTCTAAGAGAAATTTTTTGTTGTCAAAAAAATAAGACAATCATTATCGTACACCCGCTTCAGGCTAGCAAGGGCTTTGGGCTAATTTACCGCAGTGACTTGAGAGGCCCTAACTGTTTCTAAAGCGCCTCCAGCTAAACACGAAATTAAATGATTGAATTTTTCATTATCATATAAAGCGTCGTCTTTGTCAACGAAAGTTTGGCCACGAAAACGTCCCAAGAGGGCAAAATGAGAAGTGGAATCCAGAAAAAAGTGATGATTTTTTTTTAAGTTAATTTATTAGTTGGTTAAGTTTATTTTGTTAATTTTTTAGTATGGCAGTGGCGGGGCGAAAATCGATCTGGAAAAACCCCAAATTGTGAAAAAAAGTGTAGTGTGGTGTGATGAGGTGTAGCAGCAAAATTGATTTTTTTTGTTGTTTTTATCTTGTACTTAAGTTCTTAGCCCCACTCTAGCTAATCGCATCCCGTGGAAAGCGCTTTCGTCGATGGATTGCATTAATTATCGGTGAGTGAAAATATCCAATTTAAATTTTATTTCATACAAAGAAAAAATAAATGTTATCGGGCTCAAAAAGAAAAGTAAAAATGAAAATTATAATATTTTTACCTCAAACGACGATAGATGAGCAAAAAGAAATGAGTGAAAATCCAAAGCACTCTAATGTAGAAAAAAAAACACAATTTTGGTTCCGACTCAATCGCACGAGATAATTTTTCTGCAGTCGTACTTTTTATTCATTTTTAATTTAATTCCCGGATTAAATTCCCCTTCCCATTGGCTTAATTTTCTTTTATTAAGAAAAAGAAAGTATGATTACGAGTAGTTATTTACACATTTACACACATTTAATATTTACACTCAGAAAATAAACCAAGAGTTTTGTTCTTGTTTTAAGTATAAACGCTCATGAAAGTGAGTCAAGTTAGGAAAATTCTTATTTTTGTCATAATTTCTGCATTTAAGAACGTTTCATTGTTAAACTATAATCCCTTATTTGAGTAATTTTTGGTCGATAATTAATAGTAAATAGTACTTAAATTAATATTGAATTCTGCTTAAATTAAGTTTTAATTCTTTTTAAATCAAGTATAACGTGAACTTAATTGAAGTACGAATTATACTCGAATCAAGTATTAAAAATTCTTTAATCAAGAAAGATCATTATTTGGGTTAAGAATGCATGCGACTTAAATAAAGAACAATAAATTCATATTTTAAACATTACGAACTCTTTAAAAAAGAATAGTTTAATCTCAAATCAAGAAAGATACTATCCCAATTTAATTAAATAAAACTCTTAGCATGAGCACTATTGGTTCTTATAACAAGAATAAATTTTGCTTTATTTAAGAGCATCCATTTCCACACCTAAAAAGTTATGAAAAAAAAGCACTGCTATTCCTTGAATTAAGGAAATATATGGTGAGTTATTTATTAAATTAAACTCGCAATAACCTTGGTTTTTTGACATTTTAAATTTTTGTATTTATTTTACATTTTAATTGTTTGCTTAAATTTATTTATTATTGCTTTCTTATAACTAACTGGAAAAAGGGATTACAATTTATATTGTATTACTGATATGTTTTGGATCTTCAACATATTTTAGCCTTTTATATGGCTTTGAATTGGTTACAGTATATACATGAAAGGTAAAAAATATACGAATAAATATACAAAACGCATACTGCATAAATACTTGAAATGCAGAGGCATAATGGACCATGAAATGAAATGAAATTATTTTAGTAAAGTTTTAGCTGAAGAAATAACTTACCTCTGCCTTCCTCCATGATAACAGCTTCTCCCGAAACCTCAGGCGGGGTCCCAACGGAGGCACAGCTTCCCTTAAATTTTTCTTCCGTTATGAAATTTGAAATTGCTTATAATTATATAATTTAATTAATATATACACTTTTGACTAGCTTGAAATTTATAAATTATATATAAATTTATAGGTAACGTTTTTTTTTCGATTTTTATAAACAAAATTTCGTTTAACCAAAAAACCAAAAAACCATCTGGGGTGTCATTGCGAAGTTGTAAGGAAGAAATGGATTTAAGACCAGTTACCTTCGAGGCCAACACTGGCGCTGAATGCCAACCCGAGAAGAGGGATCCTAAGTGCGCTAGGGTGTCACCCAGGAAGACGAAGGTGGCAGCCAAGAAGAGGACCACGAAACGCAAGGCTGTATTGAAGCCCAAGCCCAAGTCCAAGTCCAATTCCAATACCAAGTCCAATACCAAGTCCAATACCAAGCCCAAGTCCAAGCCCAAGCTGAAGCTCATGCCCAAGAACGCCATGAGCAAGCCAAAATGCTCCAGGCCCGGGAAGGAGGTGAAGGTCCTGTGGCAAAGCCCGTGGGTCCACCAAAGGTGTTCAAGCCCGAAAAGTCCGTGTCGCAAGAAATCGCAAATGTAAACCAGAAGGCCATCATTGTAGGATCCTTAAGCTGACGAATGTCAGCACTGCTAGAATCAGAGAATTGTGAGAACCTCCTGGGAACCAGTCGATGCCTCATGCCAGGAAGGGCCCAATTCCGATTCCGAATCAAGCAAATAAAGTAATATGTCTGTCAAAAAGTTCTGTTCTGTTTTATTTTATTTATTTTTTAAACGTAAACCGATTTTTTTTAGATTATTTAAATTGGATAGTTTGGCAAAATGACAGGAAGGTCCAAGCAAATTTTTTCTCAATAAATAAAGGCATAGTCTGATAAACACTTTTTTTTTATTTTGTTTTACATTCTTTCATTTTATGATCTTGGCGAAAATAGTCATTCTATTTTTGAATATTTTGAAAAAATTAACAGTTTTACATAGTGTTAATTTAAAAGTCTAATTATTTTATTTATTAAAAACGTATTTGCTTACTCATGTATGGTGCACTGGCAAAAAAACGAAATGTTGAATCTAAATATGTGAATATTAATTTAGATAAAGTATATAAATATTATTATATTAAATTAAATTAAATATTAAATCATAGAATTAAATACAAATAATATTAAATTGCATGACTTAACATGTTTATAATTAAGTTAGTGTGAAAAATTGTAGATTTAAAGGGGTTGATATTCAAGTTTTATATGGCTTATATTAAATAAAAAATTTCTTTTTTTTATCAGTGTACATGTCTTCGTATGTATACATGTATATGTATGTGTAAAATACTATGTGTGCACATAATTAGTGCACGTGCACGAGCAATCAAGAATAATTTGCAGATCTTTTAAAAAAATGTGTATATACGCACAGAACACATAGGAATGCATGTTAAAATAGTAAGAAAACCAACTTAAAAGTGATCGTAACATAAAACTTAAAAAAAAGGTGTAAACTTTTCTATACAAGCTACGTACCGCTCTTTTTTTGACGTTTTGTATGTACGATCACTTTTAAGCTGGATTTCTTTCTATTCCCTAAGCGTTTTTTTTAAGCAACCGATTTCAACGAATTATTTATATTTTTAGGATTGCAGGTGCATTAGGTTAGGTTCTTTAAGCCGGTCGCGCACACACGTTCTTTTAAGTATATAAATAAATAGTACATAAAATAAAACTCCGACGCGCATTTTTATTAAATACACTTTTTATTACTATTGGCTTGTATTACTTACCTTTAAGGTATTCACGAATTTCTTCACATTCGTTTTTCTTCAGAAATTCCTCCAGCTTTTCGTCTTCCGCACTCATTTTCACACTTAACTTCAAACTTAAAAACGAGAAGCTTCTTCCTAGAGCTGGCCTAAGCACTCAGAATAATATCGATTGTCGATAGACGCTTTTTTCAGCAGTTGGCCATACCGCTCAGATTTGGTCATGTTATAACTCTAATCTATATATCCTCCCAGGCGTAGTTTTCCAAGAAGAATATTATTTAAGCAACAACTTTTAGTTTTTGTTTATGTTGGGGCTACAAACAAAATAAAACCAAAATTAAATACCGACTATTGATGTTTTCCATCTCTACTCATCACACACGCTTTACAAAAAGCACACATACATTTATGTGTGTTTGTTTGGCAACAGTTATTTCGGCTTATTTCGGGAACGCGTTGCTTTCAAGAATCCGTTATGTCGTAAAAAATGCATATCCTATATAGTACGCACAAACTTGTAAGTACAAACAAATACGAATGACGCTATAAATTAGTTTTAAGAATTTTGCTCTATCCTGTTAAAAATAATGAGAGAAAAGAATGGCCGATCTTAGAAAGATTTTAGCTGGATTAAATAAATGTTTATACCCTTGCAGAGGATATTATAATTTCAATCAGAAGTTTGCAACGCAGTGAAGGAGACGTTTCCGAACCTACAAAGTATATATATTCTTGATCAGCATCACTAGTAGAGTCGGTCTAGCCATGTCCCTCTGTCCGTCCGTTTATATGCAAACTAGTCTCTCAGTTTTAAAGCTATCTGCATGAAACTTTCCCAAAAGTTGTCTTTCTATTGCAGGTAGTATATAAGTCGGAACGAGCCGGATCGGACGACTATAGCATATAGCTCCCATAGGAACAATCGAAAAAATAAATGAAAAAAAATTATAACTTTTCTGTTTTTTAATTTTTTGTTTAGTTCTTCGACATATAGCAATGTTTAATTATTTCAGAATTATGATTGAAATTTTATCAAAATCGGACGTCTATATCATATAGCTCCCATAGAAATAAAAAAAAATATATAAAATAACTATCTAATAATTGAGCTGCAAATCATCATAGTTTCAATGTTTTTCAGCATATACTCAAGTAAATCATAATTTAAATGTTTTCAAAAGTATTTAATTCATGCAATAGCTGCAAGGGTATATGAACTTCGGCTTGCCGATGTTTGCTTTCTTTCTTGTTTTTCTTAAATGTGTTCACTACATTTGAGAACATACCTTCCTTAATTTAAGAATTTCCTATACTTGATTTTCTGAAAGCATGAACTGCGATAGATTAATATAAGAAAATTTTCTACTTATTATGAGGAATATTCTCTTGAAATTTGTTCTTCTTAATATAAATCGAAATTAAAAAAAAAAATTTCTACTTGTTTTAAGAATTTTATACTTGAATCAAGTATTATTAAGGATTAATTGTAGTTTAAGAATTAATTATTCTTAATTTAAGCAGAATAGGTAAAAAATACTTAAAACAAGAATATCAAAAATCAAGTACTATCGTACTTAATTTTAGAACGGCGTTTTTTCTGAGGGTATAAACTCTGATAATATATTACTTAGTTATATGTCGTATTTATACATGAATGATTTTAGCTGTTAATAAACTTTTATAATGTTTTAAGAAAATATGAGATTGGCCGCAGCTAGCGATATGCAGATGTAGGGTAGCGCTTGAGAAAAGAGGTCGCTCAGGCTATTGAGCAGGTGGAAAGAGCGACCAATGGAAAGGGGTAATTCAGCCGCAATAGGGTATTTTTCTCTTTCAGCAACAATAGTTACATGTGTGTATCTTTTCCGGTTCATTGTCGTTGCACGCGGTTATTATAGTATCATTGTTGATAGGCAAACGTGTATACAAGCAAGACCACCACAGCCTTAAGTAAAGAACAATAAATTCATATTTTAAACATTACGAACTCTTTAAAAAAGAATATTTTAATCTCAAATCAAGAAAGATACTATCCCAATTTAATTAAATAAAACTCTTAGCATGAGCACTATTGGTTCTTATAACAAGAATAAATTTTGCTTTATTTAAGAGCATCCATTTCCACACCTAAAAAGTTATGAAAAAAAAAGCACTGCTATTCCTTGAACTAAGGAAATATATGGTGAGTTATTTATTAAATTAAACTCGCAATAACCTTGGTTTTTTGACATTTTAAATTTTTGTATTTATTTTACATTTTAATTGTTTGCTTAAATTTATTTATTATTGCTTTCTTATAACTAACTGGAAAAAGGGATTACAATTTATATTGTATTACTGATATGTTTTGGATCTTCAACATATTTTAGCCTTTTATACGGCTTTGAATTGGTTACAGTATATACATGAAAGGTAAAAAATATACGAATAAATATTCAAAACGCATACTGCATAAATACTTGAAATGCAGAGGCATAATGGACCATGAAATGAAATGAAATTATTTTATTAAAGTTTTAGCTGAAGATAACAGCTTCTCCCGAAACCTCAGGCGGGGTCCCAACGGAGGCACAGCTTCCTTTAAATTTTTCTTCCGTTATGAAATTTGAAATTGCTTATAATTATATAATTTAATTAATATATACACTTTTGACTAGCTTGAAATTTATAAATTATATATAAATTTATAAGTAACGTTTTTTTTCGATTTTTATAAACAAAATTTCGTTTTACCAAAAAACCAAAAAACCATCTGGGGTGTCATTGCGAAGTTGTAAGGAAGAAATGGATTTAAGACCAGTTACCTTCGAGGCCAACACTGGCGCTGAATGCCAACCCGAGAAGAGGGATCCTAAGTGCGCTAGGGTGTCACCCAGGAAGACGAAGGTGGCAGCCAAGAAGAGGACCACGAAACGCAAGGCTGTATTGAAGCCCAAGCCCAGTCCAAGCCCGAAAAGTCCGTGTCGCAAGAAATCGCAAATGTAAACCAGAAGGCCATCATTGTAGGATCCTTAAACTGACGAATGTCAGCACTGCTAGAATCAGAGAATTGTGAGAACCTCCTGGGAACCAGTCGATGCCTCATGCCAGGAAGGGCCCAATTCCGATTCCGAATCAAGCAAATAAAGTAATATGTCTGTCAAAAAGTTCTGTTCTGTTTTATTTTATTTATTTTTTATTTAGAAGTAAAGTCGCATGAACTTACCTTTTTTTTGAACCTAAAACGTAAACCGATTTTTTTTAGATTATTTAAATTGAATAGATTGGCAAAATGACAGGAAGGTCCAAGCAAATTTTTTCTCAATAAATAAAGGCATAGTCTGATAAACACTTTTTTTTTATTTTGTTTGTAACGTACACACTTAGGTGTACGATACAATTTTTGAATAATAATATGTTAGGTTATAGGTATAAGCGTCAGATCGTGAATATTAAATATTAAGTTAGTAGTATGTAAGTTATAGGTGTAAGTGACACATAATGAATAATAGATATTAAGTTGAAACTGAATATTAAGCCGTAGTTAAGCTAAGTTCCGAACCCGAGTGGCAACGCCAGCAGGTATTTAGTGAGTACAGAAAATACTAGAAATTAAGAAATATACTAGAAATCCCGAAAGCGGGAAAAAGGGAGCGTGGGGAAGGTGGTCACACACCGATCGAGGAGGCGGTCTCTTGTGTCGGAATGGTAAGACGGGGCGGACGTGTCTCCCGCAGTAATTTTCCGTGTAATTCGAGTAACGCCTGGACCGCGCGCAACAAATGAATAAGGGGCTCTCGTGCCGGAAAAGTAGAACGGAGCGGACGCGCCTCCCTTAACTCGCTTGACGGATAATTCGAGTAACGCCTCGACCGCGCGAAGGCACGCGGTTAATGAAGAAGTGGACTAGTGAGTGTGTTTGAGGTTAGTGTATGCAAAATTCCTATCCGTCAGGCAAAGGCGGTGTAGCGGACTCGTAGGAAGACAGTAGATAAATAAAAAGATAATAATAATAATAATAAAATAGAATAATAAAACAAAGTAAATTCCATGATCGTGATTCTTTTTATTTATAGTAGCCTAGCTCCCTTCCTCGTAGTGCATGTGACCTATACGTGGACATCCGTCCCGTCCGGTCTGGTATCCTAACCTCACTCCCCGTAGTATTTGGGACCTGTACGTGGACACCCGGCCCGTCTGGTCCAGAATCTTGGTTCCCCACATCGTAGCATTTGAGACCCGACGTGGACACCCATCCCGTTCGGTCTAGTATCTTAGATTCTCCCCCTCCCTCGTAGTGCATGGGGCCTGTACGTGGACATCCGTCCCGTCCGGTCTAGTATCTTAACCTCACTCCCCGTAGTATTTGGGACCTGTACGTGGACACCCGGCCCGTCTGGTCCAGTATCTTGGTTCCCCATATCGTAGCATTTGAGACCCGACGTGGACACCCATCCCGTTCGGTCTAGTACCTTAGATTCCCCTCCTCGTAGTGCATGTGACCTGTACGTGGACACCCGGCCCGTCTGGTCTAGTACCCTAGTTTTCCTCCTCGTAGCGCATGCGACCGGCACGTGGACACCCGGCCCGTCTGGTCTAGTACAATAGCTTTTCTCTTCGTAGTGCATGTGACCTGCGCGCGGACATCATTCCCGACTGGTCAATCGTACCGCCATCCTTTCTCCTCAATCCCCCCTCGTGTCTGACAAATCCTATCCGGCTTGGCCTCGCCCGAAGGTCCAGCCCGGTGGATTTTTGGCATCCGATACATCGAGAACGACTTGCGCGCGACGCAACTCCCCGGTCCTACTCTCGCGAAATAGTATCCTGGCTTGGCCTCGTCCGAAGGTCCAGCCCGGTGAATTTTTGGCCTACGACACGCGGAAAGCGACTTACGTGTCCCAATCGCGGAAGTGATCAGCGGGACTACCCGACGTCCCCATACTCGCGAAACCGTTCGTCTGGCTTGGCCTCGCCCCAAGGTCCAGCCCGTGGAATTTTTTCACCCAGGAGCAAGACACGGCGTGACCAGCTCCGACACCAATTCTCTCTCCCCCGGCGTCTATGAGAACCTTCGGCGTGACTCCCCAAACGACTCATTCACTCGTTGAATGATACTCTCTAGTCCGGTGTTTCGGTGATTTACAAATTTCTTGTAAAGGACTCCTGGATCTGACTGAGATCTGTACCCCGGCCAGAGAGCATCCTTACAAGTGGCGCCCGAACAGGGACACCGAGACTAGCTAGAGAATCACCCAAGTGGCTTAAAGACCCACTGAAGAAAAGGAAGGGTAGAGTCACCCGAACCGATCTCCGGAAGGATCTAGAAGACTTGAGAAGGAAGTTCACGCCAAACTAAATCGAAGAGGATAACCAATGATGAGTAACCCTAAGGAATCTGACGGTGAGTACGAAGAAGCCGATTTTGTTAAGAATCCAGGTATAGGAGTCCGCTGGATATACGCTCGTCGAAAAGACGAACTCAGCGCTCTCGCCCTGGAGTTTGGTTTTAAAGCCGACGGAACCGTCGAGGAGACCAGGAAGGTATTCGCCAACCTCGTCAACACAGGGTCGTTCCCACAAAGCGTTTGGGACCGACTGGCTCAGTTGCAGGTGCAATATAGTAGCCGGGCCCCAAGTCCGAATCCTCCAGGCAGGAACGGTGAGACGGGACAGTTCGCAGAATCCCTCACCATTCCCATGACGTCCGGAGCCACATCGATCGGGACTCCAGCCCGCCATCGAGGGATCCACCCAGGATCGATGCACGGGACCTGGATGCCACCGGTAGATGTCCGCTTACCCGCCGACCTACAAGCACAAGACACACGGAGCAGCACGGCTCCAACTCAACATCTGCTCCCTGAGAAGATGCACAAATGGAATTTACGGTTCGATGGGAGTTCAGATCCGTTGACTCTCATCGCCGCGCTCGAGGAAAAGATGACGACTTACAGGATAAATCCAGAGGAGGTACCCCGCGTTATGTCCGAGATCTTGGAGGGCCCAGCGGCACGATGGTTTCGCACGAGCCACCTACAGTCGGCCTCATGGGGAACTTTCAGGAGGGAATTCCTCGACTTCTTCCTACCACCTCGATATTTCGAGCGGTTGGAAGATGAGATACGGACCCACGTGCAGCGGAGAGGAGAGCCTTTCAAGGCCTACTTGATCGAGCTCAGAACCAAGATGCAGCAAGCCGGTTATCGAGAAGAGGAAGAATTGTACCGAGCATATGAAAACATGGCTCCGGAATACCGACTGTATATTAAACGCAGTGAATTCGCGACTTTGACACAATTGACCCATATGGCCACAGAATATGAGAGTGTCAAACAACTCGAGACGACTCGACGCGAGCCAAAAGTAACCACGGACCGGAACCAAGAAGAACCTCAACTTCGCCGATCGCCGAACCCATTCCGGAATCCGGGGAATTCAACGCAGATAGGACACGTGACCCATCAGATGATCGGTCAAGGAACCTCTCAAGTAGACATAAGGCGGGCTTGTAATCGTTGTGGAGAGAACGGACATCTCCAAAGGAACTGCCCCAACCCACGTCGGGATTTTTGTTGGGACTGTGGGCGACCAGGAGTTTTGACTATAGAATGTTGCCGTCGAAATGCGTCGGGAAACGGAGAACGCCTCCGCCGGAACCCGGGTGCGGCGGAGACGAATGGAGCAGCAACCCGACCCCAGTAAAACCCCCGTTGAGATTACACGGCGGGCTCATCACAGCAGCGATAGAAGTCGGAGGACAACGTGTGGACGCCACCATTGATACAGGGGCATCGAGGAGTTTCGTCAGTGAAAGTTTTACTCGACTGGCCGCGCGTGCAGACGAGTTACAGGATGTTGTCACTAGAATAGCGTTGGCCGATCGGTCATGTCTGGATGTGACAAAGCTCTGGCGAACCTCGGTTACGTTAGCCGGCACTACGGTGCTCTTACCCATGTTAGTAATGCCCACCATGTTAGATCGTGTAATACTTGGAATGGACTTCCTCAAAGTAGCGGGAACTCAGGTGCGATGTGGTCGAGCTACACTCGACTTGCAAAACGAAGCCCAAGCGGCTGGAGACCCTTTCTTACAGCCAGTACTTATAAAGGCGCGGGGCAACCAGGAGAAAACGGTACACCCTGTTTCGGTTGGTGCCCATTTGGGAACTGCCAGGCCAGAAGAAGCAGAGATACCCAGTCCTATTCCCACGCGAACTATAACCCCGAACATCAATGCCGGTGCGCCCACTAGGACCGAGACGGTAGAAGACGAAGAACAGCGACAGAGCACATTATTGAGTCCGGCGCAACAAAGCTTCATCGATCGGGAACTGGCCCTATTCGAGAAACTGCACGGGGTGTCTCACGTCGCCGAGCACACCATCGTCATGCGCGACGACAAGCCCGTAAAACAAAGATATTATCCCCGGAACCCCGCGATGCAACATGTCATCGATGCCCAAGTAGACGAACTGCTCCGTGACGGGGCCATCGAACCCTCCAGAAGCCCACACAGCGCTCCCATCGTATTGGTCAAGAAGAAAACTGGCGATTGGCGCATGTGTATAGATTACCGTCAGCTAAACGCACACTCAGTGCCCGACGCCTACCCAGTCCCGAGAATCAATCACATTCTGGAGAAATTACGCCACGCCCGATATATCTCCACGTTGGACTTGAAGCACGGCTATTGGCAAATTCCCATGGCTAGGGATAGTCGCCAATATACAGCGTTTACGGTCCCTGGGAGAGGATTGTATCAATGGAAGGTCATGCCCTTCGGGTTGCATTCTGCCAGCGCCACGTTTCAACGCGCTCTGGATAGTGTAATCGGCGTGGAAATGGAACCGGTCGCCTTCGCTTACCTAGATGATATTATTATCATAAGCGCGACAGAAGACCAGCACTTTACTCATCTCTCGGAAGTTTTCCGCAGATTGCGGGCCGCGAATTTAAGAATAAATCCAAAGAAGTGTTGCTTCTTCAAGCAGAAACTCGTCTAC